TACGTGTCACATGTGGAGATACGCTAACTACTTAATCAGACCACCATGGATTTCCACTGTTTTGCTGTCTTGAACAGTGAAATTGTGTATTCATTTGTTACTATTTCTTTGGACTCATTCTTAGAAATGCAATCGCTCTGTCAAGGTGGATAGATACCGTCAGGGGTCTTAATGCACATAACCTGTTTTCCAGGGTGTTGGCACCAATAAGAGGAGGGGCCTCAGAGACCTTTGCTGACTTTGAGTAGTCTGCTTAATTTTGTTGTTGCTCACGAATAGCCTTAGGTTAAAGGAGAGTCAAGGCGTTGCCCACCTTAGCTTCCACACCTCTGTTTATGGATACAGTACAGCTGAGACAGAGAAGAATAAAATGAATTTGTCAGACACGTAGAAAATTGAGAACATGAGTTGGCAAGATGCTTGAAAGATGTTGGAAGCCGGATGCTTAGCACCGCGTTTGTGGGGTTTGCAAGGTGTGCTCTCATTTAAGAGAGAATAGAATGGTGTAAAATGACCAAATGGCGGTGGAAATTGTGAAAGAGTTGAAGAGGGATGTAGCAAATTGCGAACTAGTTGAAGGACGTAGCACTTTATTTTTGAAATAAAAGACATCAGCTATAAATGTTTTAATTGGAGATTTGAAAGTATTGAGGGAAAGTGCTTCTTAAGCTCCTCTAATCTGTTCGACTATTAAAATATTTTTGATAGGTGTCTTACACCATCAAAATATTTTATCCTGTTGTGCACAGAAACCTTTCTTTGTTAAGATACTTATGCATATTGATGACTGTCTTTCAGTTATTCGATATGAAATTCAAAGGCTTCCGTTTGAGCCCCGTCCATGTTTAGTAGAATTGAATTCTTCATCTGTGTGTGTATAGAGTGGGGGGGAGAGGGATTAAGCTTAACTCTTTGCAAGAAAAGTAATAAATTTCATCTCAAGTACCAAGCGGTAAAATATTTCCAGATCAAAAAGATTTTTGAAAATAATAATGAGTGCTCATCTATTTTAAGTTTCAAGAGGTGGGGGGAGCCTAAAATCGTCATCGATTGACCAGAAGACAGAATTTGAATGTCTTACTGGGTGTTTCACTCAGCCGCACTGCCTCTCAGTTGATGAGCTGTGTCTAATAAGAAACAATGAGGACTTAATTCGAAGTTTTCAGGGTTTCTATTGGGGATGCCAGGACCCTGGCTGGAAGCGCCAGTACTGTTCCCCACGCACGAGCAATGAGATTCGTGGTTGGTATCTACTACAAACTGTACCTTAAGAAGAAACGATCTTTTCATCAAGAAGAAACGCTAACTTCCTTTTCTTTGCTTTTTGATGATGATACGGAGAACACCAGAAATAACACCTCAAGGACTAAAGTCCGTCAGGAAAGGACAATGAGGCGTGTGTTATCGTGCATGGCTGTGAGATACGCAGTAAACTCTAGTTATCATGAATTTAATCAATACCATGACCTTTTGCAGCTTTGAGGAGTTTGTCTTAGAGTTCCATTCTCATATTGATACACTGAAAGTTATCCGTTCCCATTTTACACAAAGGGCCATCATATCTTTTCAGTTCCACTCATTTTATGGTTAAGAAATAACACTGCTATGATGTTAAATTAGTGGTAAAAAGGGTTTTTAAAAGCTCTAATGTAATGGTGCATTACCAGTAATTTGTAGTTTAATCACATGCAGTGCTTCAGGTGTATGCTTTAGTCTGCATGAGTTTAAACTGCAAATTGCCCTTTTGCGCTAGAGTAATAGATAATTCTCGATAAAATCAACCTGGGACAATCTTACGAAGTGTTTTTTTTTTTTTCTTTTTTGCACAAACTTCAAATGGTTACTTTATAATCACTCAACATACTTTCAGAGAATCATGAAAGAACGAATAATTGGGACTAACTGGTAGGTTCTCAAGTTTGAAAAAAACTAAACAAGATATTTTTTGAAAAGCTATTATTATGGAGACTGCGCTTTGCATAACATATATGTTAGAATGAGAAATATTCTTGCTCTAAATCACATTTGCATTATTGATTAAAGCCAGGTCCTTTGACTATTCTTTTCTTATGGGATGGATATATTTTTTCCTAAACATGTGCTGCTATGAGAAACAAATCAACCAGCACCATGAAAAAATGCAAATGAAATTTCAAAAACTAATGCTTGAATAGCTCTTGTAACTATAATGGCACTGTAAACCAGAAGCTTCAAAACTAGAGACGCTAAGATTCTCATTTCCACCTCTCTTCCCAAAAGAACCTCAAAATTTAAAACCTATTTTTTTTTAAGTAACATGATTCTTTTTTGTCAACTTGAACCAAAGCATAAATTTGGTTTTTAAAGATCTTCTTCATGTTCTAAATTTGAATTTATGCTCCTACTAACCAAACTCTCTCTTGTTCTGTTTTATAATTTAAAAATTTATGACGGCACATCTGATTCAGCGACTCTTTGATCTGTCCCTGAACTACAGTGATTCCTATATAGCGCTATTAAATTTTCATTCATTCACACATTGATGAGTTTATTTATTCAGCCAAATGCTTCCCGTATTCCAGGCACCGTGTGAGACACTAAGAATTAAGTATTGAGAAAACAAGGTCTCAACCCACATGGAACGCACATTCTCACCCTGGTTAGTATGCTGAAATCTCAAAATGGTTTTCCTCTTAAAGAAGGACTTCATCTAAAGCAAATTCACCTTATGCTCGTGACTCGAAAAGTTCACCCTCCCAGACCACTTTTTATCTAAATGAACAGTTCTAGGCTATTAGCACCCAATACAAGAAATGGATCTGTAAACTTAGCGGCAAGCAAAGCATTTCATCTACTGGAATTCACCAGGCAGCAGCGTTCAGGAATATCAGGAGAGATTTTTCTTAGCATGGATATCGTCAGCGTCTGTATTTAAGTTGATACCCGGTTTTGCTTGCCACAGAAAAAGACACCGTAACATCCAAGTGTCGGCTGACAATTTTAGGATGCTTTAAAAAAAATTCCCGGAGCGGGGCGCCTGGGTGGCTCAGTCGGTTGGGCGACAGACTTCGGCTCGGGTCACGATCTCGCGTGATCTCGCGTGAGTTCGGGCCCCGCGTCGGGCTCTGGGCTGACGGCTCGGCGCCTGGAGCCTGTTTCCGATTCTGTGTCTCCCTCTCTCTCTGCCCCTCCCCCGTTCATGCGCTGTCTCTCTCTGTCTCAAAAATAAATAAACGTTAAAAAAATTTTTTTAAAAATTGTTAAAAAAAAAATTCCCGGAGAACCGTAATCGTGGACAGTGGCCTGTGAGTACTCACGCTAACCTCGTAAGACTGTCCAGCGGAATAAGAAGCGTGCGGTGACCAACACCGAACCATGTTGAATTTCTCCACTGCAAATGGCCTTTGCACTGTCAAGTGCAAGTTTACATTTTAAAATGTCATATTTGCACTTCCAGATGGCTTGTTCCACTATATTTTACATTTTAATTGCGGTGGAAAACATTTACATTGATCTTTTGGGTGAGGTGATGCAGGCTTTTTAGTTCTTCTTTGTGGGGCTTGAGGGCCTCTGGCCCACTGTGTGCCGTATAAGCAGAGCGACCGAATCCCATCCCATCTCTGCAAGGATGTGAAGAGGCTGTTTGAGGCCTGTGGCTTGCTGGGAAAATCTATAAACCTGCAGTCCAAAGGATCACTGGGGGATGGTTTCTCTATCTATGAAAGAAGCGCAAAATATTTGTTCTTCCTGCCTCAGAGCTGTCCTGTAAGGATTGAGAAAGACGATGCTGACCCTTTGCAAAAATTACACACAGTTCCGGAAGCTGTAACTGGTATCGTTCCGACTTTCTGGTAGCGTCTGCTCACCGATACCAGTATGATTCACGTACACGTATTTAAGAAAAAGACGCATCCCATCCGGACTTGAGCCATACACTGAAAAAGATCCCTTTGTTTTCAACGTGCCGTTTGCTTCTTTTGGGGCGAGAAGGGACACTATGAGATTCCCTTAATTACTGGTCAGCCATATTAAACAACAGCCGCTGTGAAGGCGCTTTCCAATAACTGAATGCGTAATGAACCCCGTAGAGATAGAGGAGACCCACTGGGCTTCAGAAGTAATCCATCAGCCATGGCAGAGGGGCTTTAATGAGAGTCATCAATTACAACTCCTCCTAAACGTGGGACAAACACTTTAGCACATCCTCTGGGGATGAACCCATGCCCAAGCCATTCACTGAGTTCTGTGGCATGCGGTGACGAGTGTGGGAAATTAACAAGGACATGGGGCCCTTTCCAGTAATAATACAAAATGATTAAGAGGACCTACAAAAAAGAAATCAATTGACTAATCAATAGCGTGTAACTGCTTGGAGCATTTTCCCCCTGCTAATCAGCCATTAAGCTGTTTAAACTAAATATGTCCAGTTTCCCCAATTACTGCACTGATTTACAAGACAGGGTCAAGGATGCCAGACTCTACTGGAGTCAGATTCCAGAGCGTTTGCCATGGGGAAAGATGGAAGTAATTTATAGGTGATCCACTCTCACTATGGATTCTGATGGCTCTTGAGAGGGACGATGTGACAAGACCTGTCCTCCTGTCGCAGACATTGGTGAATTAACGTGGTCTGCCCAAGTTCTCAACATACGTATTTGTTTGACAATACGGCTGGGAACTTGACTGCATTCAGGAATGACGGAGGTCAGAATAACGAAAGAACACACACCTATAGGCTATACATGTTCAGGCCTGAAAAGTGTTTTCTTCACTTCAGCCGTGGTGAGGAACACGCGGCCAACAAGACTTCGAATTCGAAGCCACAAACGGTATCCTGACGACACCCCCGTGAGGTGACCCCGTTATTACCCACCTGTATAATGCCAGCAGTCCTGGTACCCAGACCACCTGTAGCTTCTTTTTTAAGTTGAATGCCACTGTGGGGGAAAAAGCGACACTGAGAAAATGACTTGAAACAGGGGCGAGAACTTTTTTATTGATATGTTTTACTTTGCTGGCAGACCAGAGCAAAGGTTTTGTGAACATTTAAAAGATGAAAAAGGTGAAGAATCCCAGAAGCGGTTTATCTTGAAGCGAGATAACTCTAGTATTGATAAAGAAGACAATCAGGTTGGTTCTCAAGTTTGAGAGTGGCTGACGTTGTTGTTTTTGAAGGTGGGCTGACTTATGTTCTTGTCCTTCTGTTGTCCCCGGCCCCTTTCCCCAGCCCCCCCTCCCCCCGCCTCCGAGGCGACTGTCCTCTCTCTAACCTCCTTGCCTCCCTCGCTCCCTCTTTGGCATTCAGTGGGTAGCCGAGAAAATCTGTCCCGATTGCTTCAGCAATGGCTCTGTGTGTCGGGCTGCATGGGGGGTGCTTGGCACAGCTTTTGCAGCATGTGTTGGTGAGGGGGGTGCGGGGTTGGGACGCCACTGGCCCGAGGTGTCGGGAAAAGCTTTGTCATCGCATTTCCAGATGCCTGTGTAACTATGGCAGTAATTCCGCTCCCACAGCTTTGTCCTTCAGTTGTGCACACTCAGCTGGATTCTCAATACGGACCGATGACCAACTGGTGTAGCCGTAAAGAACAAACCTTGTTATGGTGAGGACAGGTGGATTTTGCAACTCTCCCAAAATAAGTCTTCACGCAAGGGAATCGAGTTCGTGTTTTAGTCTCCCCTCCACCCCTTCTCCTTCCCACGTTTTACTGCCCATGTAAACTGTCTGCTTGTTTTGCATGAACCGTAGCAGAACATTCTCCTTTTGTGTATTTTGCTTGTGACAAAACATTACCTTGTCCTAGAGTAAGGATTCACGGTACTTCGGCAAGGGTAGAGAGATTTGCTCAATCTCTTCTCCAGACGGGGGTTATTGGGGGTGGGGGAGTTGGGATCCGGGGTGATCAGGAAGATAGCTAACTAAGTGAATGACAAAAGAGAATAAAGTTCAAACAATAATACGGACGGGAGAGAGTTATCTGCTGCCACCTCAATCGCCCATTGTGTCTCTGACAATCCAAATAGATTTTTTTGAAAATAGACTTTGCTTTAGAATTCTTGAAGGTAAGACAATCTTGCATCTCCCCCAAGTTATCATTTTAATGACTCTGTGAGTCACTAAGCCAGTGCACGCATCTCTGATGCACTTAAAAAAAAAAGATCCCTGTTCTTCACCCGTATCTCGGTTCTTCGCACCCCCACCGCCACCACCATGGAGCTGTAAGCAGCTCCCATCGACTCCGAGACATGTGCCTGTGTCGTGTACTGAGTGGGTGTTTGTTGAATGAACGGATGAAGGTGGTTAGCGCAGAGCCTTTTGTGAGGAATGGGACAATAGGAGGGGAGGGGAGTTGAGACGCAGGCAGGGACACACAGGTCCAGGGCTGAAAAAGAACAGTCCTCATGCTGGGTTCTTTGGATGGTGCCTTTAGATTCCTTGGTGTTGACCCTCCTCAACAAATTCAGACCCTTCGAATTCAGGGTCTACTTCCTGTGCCAAACGCAGGGTGCAGGATCAGTCACCGAGGGAAGGAAAAACACCGGTTAGAACACGGAGACACTATGCCCACAGTTTCCTTTCTGCCCGTTACCTTCTTTCTTCCCTTGTTCCGTTCCCAACTGTTCCCGGTACTGTTCCCGGTACCCAACTGTTCGCAGCCACGTCTTCCCTTAGCCGCCTTGAACTAGCCGCGTGCTCAACATCCCGCTTTCGCCTGAAGAGTCCCAAACGCGCAGGTTAGTTAGCAGAGGAGACGGAGTCCACCCCTGTGGCCTGCGTCCCAGCTGAACTGGCTGCACACCGGACACACGTCCAGGTGCTTTCATGCTGGAAACCGCTGGCCTCCGTGCGTCAGGCGGGGAGGCAAGCAGGAGCCGCAGACAACTGCCTCCACGTGTTAGGCACGCACCCCGCACACCGGCCCAGCCTCCTCCGGGCCCCGAGGGAAGGACACTCTTCATGCTCCATTTGTTTAAGCGAACATTTCTTATTCTCAGCTGACGGTTGCTTAACTGCAGATTTGCACCGGCTCAACTTGGATAACCGTACTGATTTCTTTCTTTCCGTTCAGCAAAACAGAGTGCATCCATTTAGAGATGACAGACGAAGTAAATCAATTGAAGAGAGAGAAGAGGAGTATCAGAGAGTGAGGGAGAGAATATTTGCACACGATGTGAGTAGCTGTTTTAATTGCCTCTTTAGTGTCTGGGGACAGCGAGCTGGCAGGACTCAGGAAGCTGGAGCCAGGGACAGATCGAACTGCAGCAAATCAGAGGTGTTTCTGGAGGAAGACCTTAGTGCAGGGAAGTGGTGGAACAGTGGCCCAGGGTTGCCTGTGTTCCGGAAGGCTATGACGGAAGGGGGGGCACCGATGTGATTCGGGTCGGTAGAATAGATCCTGAGTACAGAGCAAAGTTGCCAGATTGTTTTCTTGTTAATGTTTTTAAACGTTCAGTTTTTTCTTTTTGAGAGAGAGAGAGAGAGAGAGACAGACAAGACAAAGCATGAGCAGGGTAGGGGCAGACAGAGAGGGAGACACAGAATCGGAGGCAGGCTCCAGCCCTGGAGGGCTGGAACCCACGAAGTGTGAGATCATGACCTGAGCTGAAGTCGGATGCTCAACTGACAAAGCCACCCAGGCCCCCCCGGAAGTTGCCAGGTTTGAAGAAATGCCTTCACATCTGTGTTAGCCCGCAGACGGCCCAGTGTTGTCTTTTTTCATACGAATGTCGTGCAGAGGGAAGACATATCTAAAAAAGAAAGAAGATTCTGTGAATCGCATACGTAAACACAGAATTTTCTGCCTTCTTCGCAGGTACAGGCATTGTCTTGTATCCGAGTTAAATGAGAATACTCCTCTTCCCCCTCAGTTTCAGATCAAATCAGGTCTGTGAGCGGTTCGTCAAGGGAATAACCGGAGTGATTTCCTCTGTTCAAATCCCAGCAAAGGAAACGTGGTGGGGATTTATCTTCCTTTGACGCCCGCCCCCCCCCCCCCCCGCCGCCGTGGCCAAAATAAAATGCAGTGAAATTAAATGAAAGTGAAAAAGTGATTTTTACAAAGCCGGATTTAAATGCAAGAAGGCGAAAAGGGCAAGCAGGTGCCATTAGCCTTTGCGTTCGATGCTGTCACTTGGCGGCCTCCGGAGATGTCGCGGCTCTTCCCTCAGCAGAAGTAAAGGTGTGAGCTGCTTTGTGTAGTTCCTCGTGGCTCCTGCTGCCTTAGCTGGGCCTCCGCCTCCCGTCGGGCTTTGCTCTGGAGGCCATTGCCAAGCCAGCATGGAGACGTAGGCTCCACTGCGTAGCATGGAGAGGCCTTCTGACCTTGGAGTTTTCGGGCCCCAGCCAGTTTCCCTGGTCCTCCAGAGCACGCTGGCGCCTTCAACAGAAAACCGCAGAGGCAATTCCGACCCCACCGACGGTGCCTTTCTTCCCTGTCTACACGGGCTGCCTCTCTTCTAGATCCCCGCTGCCTGTCACGGGTGCAGGGAAATAGAATTTTAGTGATCGGGTGATTTGGCTCAGAGCTCTGGAGTTGGCAGAGTGGGAGAGAGGCGGGTGGAGGTGGCTGTAGAAGGACGTTGTCCACGTGCAAGTCTAGAATATTCTGCGTATGTGTGGGCTCCTTGGGCTTCTCGGACAGTCAGAGTTATTGATGGCGCGAAGCGCAGCCCGACCCATGGTAGGCTTTTCATCGTGTTTCCTGGATCCAAGGATAGAGTAATGAGGGGCTTGGAGGTGGTGTAGCCAGGCTAGCTGGGGGGGGGGGGGGGTGCCCCCGGTGGACTGGAAGGCAGCGAGCCTGTGCCTGGCCGATGAGCTTCACAGAGAGAGAGCTGTCTGAAGGCTAGTTTGTCCTTTCTTCTCTTTCTTTCTTCCTCTCTGCCCGTCCTTCTCTCCCCCTGCCTGCCACGTGCAGACACGCACACACATGCACACTTCCCTCTGACTCTCACTCTAGCAAGTCATAAAGTTTATGAATGAGTTGTGTTGCAAAGCAAATCCTAATCACCCAGATAATCTACAAACATCGTGGTATTCTTTCAAAGTACTGCCATGCCACATTGCCAAACACTCTGGGGCTGGGTGGCCAGAGAACCAGCCCTGATGCCTGCCTGTGAGGAGGGTGATTCTCGGGCTGCTGCCCTTTCGTGTGCACGTGGCCACGTCCCCAGAGAGGTCATCACAGGCGGGAGGGGGGGGGGCGAAACTCCTTGTACACATTGCATTTCCCTACAGCCCCAGCAAGGAACCCGGGTCTCGGGTTACAGACTGGAGGCAAAGCTGCTGTTCCGAGCCTCTATGACTAACTGCCGAATTAGCATATTTTTTAAAAGCAAAAGCAGATTGAAGTGTGGGAAGGCCTAAATGCCAAGCTATTGCCATAGCCTTTCCAATTCATGACGCCAGCCATTTGGCAGCCTTCTTTGACATGCGGCGGTGGCTCCTTCCCTCTGCAGGAGTAGAGGTGTGAGCTCCTCTGATAGGCTCTCCGGTGACCAGCACTCCGGCTTTCCTAATTCAGGTGGGGCCCCTGCCCGGTTCTGGGACTACTTTTCCACCTGATCTCTGGGGTGCGTTTATTTTTCATTGGTATCCTGTACCCGGAGGATACTCACAGGCAGGCTTCAGAGATTAAAGCCGGTTCCTGACATCATCTGCAAAACATTATGTCTGTGAGTGTGGGTACATTTTTGTAAGCAAAAGATCTGGATTGTTTATAAGTTTTCATGACCCTTAAAGGCTCAAAGCCGCTCTCCTAGAGGGAGAAACGATGCCTGATGCCTGTCTTCCTAGGCCTGCAGCTCTGGAGAAACAATGCAGTCCGAAGGCTGGTGTTCCCTGTGTTTTCGCTCTTAATCGCTACTCAGCAAACTATCCCCAAATTTGACAGCTTAGATCAAACAAAACGCTTTTTGCCTCACAAGTTCTGTGGGTCAGGAAACTGAGAGTAGCTTGGCCGGCCAGTTCTGGCTCACGGTCTTTTGTGAGGTTACAGTCAAGCTGTCAGCTGGGGCTGTGGTCTTCTGAAGGACCCCCGTGGTTATTGGCAGGCCTCAGTTCCTGGCTGGATGTACCGAGATCTCAGTTCCCACCATGTGGGCTTCTCCATAGGCTACGGAGCGTCTTGAAGACATGGTAACTAACTTCCCCAGAGCCAGTGATCCAAGAGAAAAAGAGCCCAAGGTGGCAGCGAGAGTCTCTTATAACCTAATCTGGGAACTGACACCTTGCCTTCTGCTGTGTTCGGTTGGACACACAGACCAAACGCGGTGCCGTGTGGGAGGTACTACAAAACGTGAATGCCCAGAGGCAGGGATCATCGGGGGCCACCCTGAGTTAACAAGATGTCACTGTATCTTTTATTAACGCAAACGCAAAGACGGAACCAGCGATACGAACTTTCTTGAATACATGCAGTAATAAATCTTCCTTACCACGTACATAAAAACATTTTAGAGAGACTTAATTTATGTAACTCCGGATTCCCAAGTGACCGTTTCTGCTCTCTGATTGTTGAGGTACACAAGGTAATAAATCAAATATAGTAAGTCAGTTGTAAAACCAATGCAAAGAATCCAGCATAAGGAATCTAAGTTACAAACATACAGTCTTTTTCTTAGCTGGCCTTTAATTTAGTGTCTTCGTAATTTAAGAACTGAGGTCGTGAAAGCAACTCCCCTTGCCAACCTATTATTGTTTAAGCGGTGGAGTTATTCAAACAGGTTCAAATATGGACATATTTATGTAGAGGTATCTTTTTCCTGCTGGAAGTTATAATAGAGTTACAGAGAAATACTCCCCGGTACTTACACTTCAGCAAAATTAAAATTTATTTGGGAAAACGAGTAGTGTTCTTGAATAGTTTACAGGTGTATCTTGGTGTCTAAGGGGTGTGTGTGTGTGTGCGCGTGTGTGTGCATGCGTGAGCGTGCGCTTTTTTTATGTAGGTCCACAATCAAAATACACAGATTATTTGGGGATTTTCTAGAAAACTAATTTCAAATATAGTTTGAGAATTCGGGTGGCTTGAGATAGGACACATTTGTTATTTGACAATGAAGTTGTTGTAAGTCAGGGCACACTGCAATTTAGTTCTCAAATAAAAAATAAGTGAGTTTTTGTAGTCAGAGATATTTGAAATATAACTGTTGTTTCCTTTGGCAAGAATTTCAGCTTATTTTATGATCACTTCAATGCAATGTTGCTGGCTTTGGCAAGGTTACGCTGATAAAGCAATGTGTTTGGGAAAGACGTGTTTTGCCTGGAGGATGCTTTCTGAAGGATATTTATATATAAGTAGAGATTCTTGGAGGAGCTCATCCACGGTCTTCCTAGCACGTACTGGGATCCCTCTTCTGTGACAACCGACGAGAAGGCGTGTGGTGCACCCAGATTGGGGTGGGGTGTGGGAGAGAATCCTGTAACCCATTAGGCAAAATCGTTTTCTCCTTAAAAATTAAAAAAGAGCCCTTTATATCTGAGAATGCATATAAGTGACAGCTTTAAAAGCTGCACTTAATTACTATGACAATTTTGTCTTTCTCTGCTGTTTAAATTTGCAAGTTATTCGCATAACTTTTTCAAAAAGTTTATTTTCATCAGCTACTGAATCACGGCCCGTAACCGTATCTGTCCTATTTCTGCAAATGTGGCAGAAGGATCATGTGGTAGATTTTTAGGGCCTTTGCACAAACATTGGAAAATACTCTTGAGATACGTTTTTGGGAAAGTTATCTTTGACTTGCAGGTGCCTTATTGTTATTATTATTTTTTTTAATTCAAAGAGTTAGGGCAGCTTAACTTTCCCCCGAATACGACTAGGTTAATGAGTCTGAAGAGGTCAGTATGTCTTTGATCAACTCCTTCAAAGAAGGAGAGTGTCATGCCAATACCCGGCATGAACCGCATAAACGTAATTGACCTCTTTCCAACCACGTGAGCTGAGTAGTCGGAGACTATGGAGCTCGGAATGTGTACCCGAGACAATTAGTTCCATGACTTGACTCAAACCAGGAGTAAAACCAAACTAAAGGAGGCAAAGACAATGGAATATTTTGCTTACTATAAAGAGATCTTGGCAGGAATGATGCCAGTGGTACAGAGATTGTCCTCGTTTTTGTTTATGCACATAAACATCGAATTAAAAAGAAAGATTTTCTGTAAAGCTTTTTTTTTTAATCGGGGTTTTTTTTTCTTTTTGTTAAATAAGATGCTTTGCGCTTCATTTTCAGGATGTCTGTTAAACGCACAAAGGTTAAAAGAGAAGTGGTTCTAGAGATGCCCTCGCTGAGACACTCAGACCACTGAGGAAAGCACATTAGGTCCAAAGCTAGCCCTTTGATTTAGTGGAAGGAAATGACTTCTCCACCAAAATGTACAGAGAAACCAATATCCTGCTTGCCTCTCTGAGTAGTGGTTACATTAGCTGATCATTGAATTTAAGAATTCAATATTGAGAGGTCCTTATTTACTTTAGTTTCATTTTCTCTTGAATCGGACCTGTTAGGTCTCGAGTGATCCCTTGAGCAGGCCATTTATTCATCATTTAGAAAATCTGCACATAGAATGCGGGGTGTACATTTATGTTTAGCAACTCAGTACTTTGAAAACGGTTTTAGGTGAATTCCTAAACACAGTCACTATGTTAGAGGACCATTGCACTATATTGCTTCGACTTCTCTTTTTCTGCTTGTTCAAATTGAATCAGATCTGTCTTTCCCCAGCACATAATGATAATAGAATTTTCTCTTCCCTGCGAGTGTATTAAACACGTGAGAGAAGAGTGGCGATAGCTAGGGGGACAGAAGCTAAGAAGAAAGTCACGTTGTTGGGTTTTTTTTTTTTTGTTCTGTGTGAAAAACAAAACAGAACATTAGACGGAGCTTGGCATCGTTTTTCCGAATTAACTTCATTTTGTTCTCAATTGTCTCTGCGTCCCCTCCCCCCCCCTCCTAAAATGGATTGAGGCCATGTCTTCAATCTTCAGTGTCTTGCAGCCAATCTGTTTATTTCACCAGAGTCTGTCATTCCCAGGTAACAATTGCAGGTTTGTGGTTCTCTGACTGTCCGATCTCAGGTTGATCGTGCTCAGCGCACGCTTTCTGCCTTGATTTGAACCAGTCTTTTGGCTCTGGTCGGGGGCCGCATCTCCGCAGCCCCGGAATAAACCAGTAGCTCATTCACATCCCTCTACTTCTGACCTTGATGTCGAGCGGGCTAAATGTATTTGTAACCTGGAGACGCCCCGATGGGAAAGTACTTGTGTGCTGAATGAGAATGGTTTCCGCTTCTAACTCTAACCAATTTTTCCCTTTTCTGCCTCCACTTTTTCAAAACACACTACCTATGTTTCTTCTTTCTTTTCCTCTTGGAGGGGAAAAGTAGCTTTAAAATCAGGCAAGGAATTGGGATCCTTCGGCACATCCAGAACGTCTGATACAATGCCTTCTTTTCTTTTCTTTTTTTTTCTTTTCAGTCAGTTTGCTCCCAGGAAAGCCTTTTTGTGGAAACCAGGTAAATGAAATTGAAATTTGCTTTTTCGTGTCATTAGAGGAAAAACAGTCTGTCGTGTGTGTCCTGTGTATTCATAGGTATATATCCCATATATAAGTGTGAGCTTGAATATATGTATAAGTAAATGCATATATCTCTGTGTACGCACTTATATGCACACGCATATGTGTTATTTAGCATGCCTAAAAACCATTTACTTTGGGGAACTACTTCTCTGTTCTTTCCAAACGTAAGTTTGCACATTTTCTTTGTTTAAAGCCTCAACTTCTGGTTCTTCCCGAGGTGGAATCCTGCTACCTTCACCAGGCATTACAAAGCATGAATGAACTTGCAGTTTCATTGGCTTATGCACTAGGCTGTTAACAGTATTTGTATGTTGGGTATTATTAGCCACTTCCTGCGCCCCGTAATTCTATATAGCTATGCAGACAATAATTGGGATAATATATTGTTTTAAGTTTCTCACTCTAACTTGGAAATCTAGCTAACCCGATCTAGAGTTGCTAACTTGGGAGTCAGGACGGGGCTAGTCGTTGTGAGATGGGTGGGTTATACAACTTCTCCAAGGTCTTGAGAGGATGAGTTGAAGTTTTGCATATTTCACATACACTTTTTAAGAAATTGTTCTCAACTGGCATAGATATTTAAATGCTCCATTCATTCCACTGCAGCTTTTCAAGGGGAATTAAAGAATTCCACCTTAGCTGTATTAATCACGTTTGAGGGACATCAGAACGGGCACGTTGGAATGGAAATATGGTATCCCTTCAAAGAGTGGTGCTTAATTTTATTTCAGGTGTCGGCTTAATGGGCGCCCCCGTAAAACTGATTAAAATAGAGGCTGTTTGATTAAAGTCTAGTACTTAGAGAAAATTTAAACCGGGCATTAGCAATGATTGGGGGGAAAAAAAAGCTATCTTTAATATTAGCAGTTAGAAAGCTTCAAGTAACTAACCCCCTCAATTGAACAGCCTCTTCTAGAAGAATGGATGAAAGTAGAAAACACGTCGATAGAAGGCATTCAAAAACAACATCAAGATTCATACATATTTAAGTAAATATTCTCTATTTATAGTTAAATTAAGAAACTATGGGTGCTAACATCTTAGGGATGATTCTGAAGCATTCTACAATTCTGTATTCTAACCCAAAGGATGGAGTGTTTATAATTCAGTTTAGTGGGAAACCTTATTCCCCAATCATCCAGCCAATCGTTCTCCATGCCTTATGCCCTAATTTTATATCTCCTTGGATTTTGTATAAAAAGAGTGCTGATGCACTCCCGTGTCCCTTAAATTCAAAATGAATCATATTAGTCAGTATAGTAATCGGTCCCATACATGCATTGCATATGAACAATTCTTGATATTTCCAAAAAGCAAAAATCTAATTGAGTGGATTCCCTACAAAAGTAAATACATTTCTTGGATACCTGTCTTTGGAATGTCAGTATTTCACTATGCCCAAGAAAAAAAGGTAACTTTAATATCACCCAAGGGAAAAAAAAAATCACAACTTTTAGTGTGTTTAATTACATGTCTGATACATCCCTACCGATTTCTATTATCTTCCTTGCCTCTTCCATTCCTTCTCTTTCTTCTTCCTTTCCTTCTTATCTGGTATCAGCGCCTTAATCCCAGGATAGGGAAACGTCATGCAGTCATTAATTTATTATTGCAAAAATTCAACAACATGCACATAAAGCATAGCCTATGGGGTTGATCTGAAAGCAGGTATGTTACAATGCAGGACACACCCATTTAGCATAGGAAATTTAGTGTCAGTAGGTTTTATATCATAAAAACCATGTTTTTCATTTCCAGTAGGCTCTTGGAAGACAGTAACATATGCAATGAGACCTATAAGAAAAGACAGCTCTTTCGGTTGGTATGGTTTACTTTTTTTAAACTGTGTTTTCAGCTTCTGTGGCAGAATCAATGTTAAATATAAATGTATTAGTGTAAAATATCTGTTCATGAAATCAACACGTTCGGTTATATCTTTGTAAAAGCTTGTTACAAAGCTAGTGCTGAAGCCGTATTCGATAATGTGGGATATGGGGCCAGGAAAATATTGCTTTGTATATAATCCTTTAGGGTTCTCCTTCTGATTTGCTGTTTTTGGTGGAAGTTTGTTTGTTTGTTTGTTTTCCTTTTTCCCCCTCAAGAGTTCACTCTGGCAGTGCACTGATTTAACATTCCCGAGTCAACTGTGGTGAATTACACCAAGTTAAAATTTCTCCGATAGCTTGCAATGATATATACGTACCTGATATGGGAAAACAAACCAATGATAACTCCATTTGAGTAGCGGAATTTTTTATAGTCATAAATATTTCTAACGATACTTTTTTCCAGCACAGGAAGGCACAGGATTGCTTCCAATGAGAATGAGTTACTTAAATCAAGGTCTGTGTGAGATAAGGGGACTGGTATATATGTGTTCATTACATACGAATATTATGTATTTTAAGTTCTATATAGGCTAGCAGTTACATGAAAGCAGAGGGACCGTACCCATATTGTCACTACCCTATTAAATATATCTCTAGCATTCATTTTAGGGCAAAGGATACACGGTTCTATCAATGTACTCAAGATGAGATATATATATACACACACACACACACACACACACATATACACACACACATATATATATACACACACATATATATACACACATATATATATATTTAATATGTTACTGCTTTTATGAGTATTAGGATTCATCTCTATTGTAGGAAAGAGAAAACTTATTTGTTCGCAAACAAATGAAACCTCTGGCCCACTTAGAAGGGAAAAAAAAAGACCAAGAACAGTAAATGGGTTGTGTGCTCAGAAAATCTCTTTTTGCAGTCAATGTGAATTTCAAACCTCAGCGTTAGAAAAGTTAGACTGATTTGTTCCCTTTATACTTTGGCAGAAATAAAAAAGATTTTTTCAAAATTTCCTTCACTTTTCCAGGTTGAACTACATAGGCAAATGCCTTACTCTGGTATTGCTAGACTCTTTACTTTCACACTTGTAGATTAAAAATAACAACAACAACAAAACGTTGCATTGTTCTTTTTAAAAACCCAGAGAAGAATGAGAATTTACCAGTCCTCCTGTACTTACACCATGATCTGGTTTCTTCAGGTCCATATAAATGAAATGTGAGTTCTTGCCCCCGATAGGCAAATTCATTTTACACAGCCCCAAATCTGGTCCCCAGCCTGAACTACCATGTACTCATAGCCATCGCAAATAGGAGTGCCATCAGCCACCAAGTCACCAAGCACAGAGACTCAGGATGATGACTGAGCACAGAGGCATCCACACGATAATAAAGCAACTCCAAGTACACATCATACTTAACTTGGTCAGAAAAATATCCCTGATATTACTGGACATATCACTGAACAATATCAGTTCAGATATGAAGGAAAATAAATGTCATTAGTTGTATTAATCAGCACAAAAACAGTACTTAGAGTACGTGCTTTACGACCCCCCTGGGATCAGATTCTTGTTACTTACATGAGGGACAACCGCTCTTGATGACCAGACATCTCATTACCATTGTCTTCCTGGTTTCCAGTAGGAAGGGACCAAGACTGAGCTTAGGAGGGACAGGAAAACACTTGTGGATAATGTTTTTTTCTATGACGCCTATGATTCTATACCGAATAGATGTGGAATTCAATTCTGACCCTCGCCTTGCCAGTGCTAAGGTGAATAATCAATGGATAGACCTGTAAAAATACTGTTTCAGTGTATCAGTAGAGATCATAAATTAGAGTTAGTTGTATTACTATGAATCTCATTCACGCTAATTCTAAAGCAGCAACTTAAATTCCCTCTTTGGGAATTTTGACAGATGCTGACTTGGGATGCTGCTTTGAGCTGGTGGAGAGTAGAGGTAGACGACGTTAAGGCGATCTTGGGTGGCCTTATTGGCCAAAGGGTGTGGCCCAAGTCTCGAGGAGTTACCCATCGCCAGAGTGAAGCCTCCAAACTCCCGCACGCTCGTTTCCACCCAGGAATAGCGGTGGACATTCCACTGCAGGGACAGGCTAAGCCACCCCGGCATTTCCACTAATGGAGGTGCACCATGCGTGGGGAGAGGGACACCGAAGCAGAGTTAGTGATCGTCACCTGCGTACGGAGAGCTTCGTTCGGATGCATCCTGTATGCTGCGGCTAAGGGCCACCCCAAATCTTTTCCTACCCCAAATATTCTAAATTAGCTCCGTGTGAGATTATTGTCACAGCCCTGGTGCATTGACCGTTACGAAATAATGATTTTGCCCAGCATTGTCAAAGTCGGGTCAAATTAATCAGAATTAAACGCAAAAAGAATAAAGTTGATTTGGGAACTTGAAAACAGTCAGGAATGGAGCACCACACCCTTGAAAAGGCTATTCCCCACCCTCCCTCCTCTGGCTTTCTTGAATTTCAAAGGAGTTTGGAGAACTCAAGCCACCTGGCCGTTGGGTGTGTGATACTTTCTACTCCCAGTCTGGTCTTTCTTGAGATCATCTTTCTGAAACCAGCAATCCCTGAGGTCCTAACAGAGAGAATATAAGTAAAATTGATAGAAGACAGGAGGGCACTGAGTGCTTTTCTGTGTGTGAGGTTTCTGCCCTCCCCTCATTTATGCGAAGTTGCAATCACAGACAAGCCTTTTCATTTTTATTATCTCTTGGATCCATTTACCTTCTTCAGTTCTTCTAAAACAAAGGAAAAGTTTAGTGAGTAAAGTTGAAACAACCCCTAAAGTTTTCTGTGTACCTTCTGTACAGTTTGGCTGGTGAGTGTTTCAATGAGATGCGCTCACTCCTAACCTCTCCACGGTCTATTGTTGTCTTTAGAAGAGGAGACGACAGAGCTAGGGATGACATCTGTGAGACTGGGACCAAGACTTGGGCAGGTCACGTTGCTCAGGGATAATGAAATTAGGGGTTGTACCCATTGCCCGTGATTTATGTTCCCTTTACTTACTTATAGTCCATGAGAACCTTAGAGTATTGTAATCATGTGTTATTTCCAACTGCAGGAAAAGCTGTGAAAATACTAAGGTACCCTTTAAACAGATCGGAAACCAATGAAAATGCAAATTTCATCAACTTTCTCTATGAAACGCTGGTGATTTTGTGTCTTAGAGATCTTGTGGAGTCGTCAAAATTCACTCCTGGGTTCGGATCTCTTCCCATACATTCACTCTTTTTCAATTTGAATTTTGAACCAATGGGTTCTTTCACCGACGAAGCTTTTGTTATTTTCACTGATCCCCTGGAAAGTTTCGTGTCAGCATAGTGTTTACCCTGGTGGTGTTACTGTCGCAAGTTTTTCCACGTGAAAAGGCTCGAAAGACTCTTTCCTCTGCCCACGAAGGTTAAACTCACTGGGCAAAATTCACACCCTCAGTTAATGGAGTCAAACTGCTGTGATTTCTGTGCTGCCAAAGCCTTAATGAATTCAGATAGACATTTCATAAAGGTAGGAAACAATGAACGGCCTCACCGGCTCTGGGTGCGTTTCCCCATGGTCCAAGTATTTCATGCTAAAGGGACACCCAAAACTTCTCTTCAGTGAGAGTTGCTTTTAGAATCATTCAAGATCAGAATCGGTCCCAAACGTTGATTCATTGTTGACTTGAGTCAGGAGGGTTTATCCTCCTCTCCTCTCCCCAAGAGAAGTTAACAACTATGTGTTATGCCATGTGGTTTGTTTTTTTTTTTCCCTAATTGTTTCTCCTTCACCGGCAGAGGGATGGTGTGACAGTTCTAGGTTTGGCTTTTCTGTTTGTAAACACCCACATTGTGTGTGACATGTGATCTGTCTACACATCAACGAGGTATTTGTGGCACTGTTTGTGGGGCGACGGGGTTGACGGAAAGGGTTGCAAGAAGGGTCTCGCGTAGACCGCTCTTCCAAGAAAGTTCCCGCCCTGTGCCCGTGCGGCTCGTGGAAGGTAACGCTGTCCCTGTGCATCTTTCTGATGGCTGTGCTCCAGGGGCAACAGAGACGGCCCGGGGAGAGCAGCCGGGAGTCGACAGAGCAGCTCCGAGAATGAGCTCAAGTGGTCGGACCACCACCGGCCCTGGAGCAGCACGGACTCTGATGGCTCCAACCGCAATCTCAAGCCCGCCATGGCCAAGACGGCAAGTTTCGGGGGCATCACGGTGCTGACCAGGGGCGACAGCACATCCAGTACCAGGAGTCCCGGGAAGTTGTCCAAAGCAGGTAGTTAGTACTGAATGGGTTTGTGTCCTGTGCCGTTGCCCAGATTCTCCCCAACCCATACGGCCATCATTCCCTCTGGCTTCCAGTTAATTAATTGGAATGAATGGGTAGTGATTGCTGGCCTGGCCGGGGAGTCAGAAGGTGCCGTTGAAATGCCAGTAGCGTCTCTTGCCCGCTGTGTGCCAAGGCCAGATCGCTCGCTGAACCTCTCTCAGAGGTTGTATACGTGGTTTGCAAAGCATCTTTGATCGGTGTTGGAGGCAGAACCCTGATCTCTTGAATAGAATCGGTTTCTCTCTTACTGTAGCAGTTTGCAGGTGTTTGGGCTGCGTCCCCGGCGTGTTTGCAGTTGGGCCCAGCTCCAAAGTTCATGGTTCTACAGGTGAGAAGGTGTATGACGCCCATCTCCTTAATGGCCCCCCGGGTCCATTTTAAAACCTCTTGATGTAAGTGACCCCACGTCATTTCACCTTTCACACTGTGATATGTAAACTGTTACAGAATTTCACCGTAACCCCCCCCAGCAAACCACCGTACGTTTAAATTATTTCTATAAAAATGGTTCCCAAGGCACCTGTACATGAACACGAGGAAGCCATTTTTTTTTAATTGAATGCTATGATTAGTTTCTTAAAACCTCACATTGCAAGGTGATTATAACATGGATAGTTGTGGTCCCTGCTTTGGCACGCTGTTAGTGTCATCGTTGGGCAAGTTATTTGACCTATCTGTGTCTCCGTTTCTCCACCCAAGACATGGGAATAATTGTGGTACCTATATTGCAAATTCATGGCAAAGGCTAAAAGAGTTCACGTACGCATAGCAATTAGAATAATACCTGGCAAGTTATATGCCCTCCACAAACACTAGTCTATGTTTATTTTTATTATTGCCACTTAATGCCTCCATTCCTGCTTTGCAAATAAGGAGACTGAGACTCAGAGAGGCTTGGAGTTCTTTTTTTTTTTTTTTTTTTTTTTTGGTTTGTTTTTTTCTTTTTGTTTTTTTTTCTTCCAAGTGCACAGTGATCTTTGGAGGTAGGTGGTTCAAGTTGCATGGACAGACTTTGGGAGGCGGGCAATGATGAGAAGCATTACCTGGAAACAACTTTAAAGTGATGCAAGCATGAATCCCCCGGGATTCATAGGGGTCCAAAAACCACCCATCATGGTGTGTCATTTCCAGCTCCTCTGGCTCCCAAGGATCCCTCGCCATTGTTTTCACCTGATTTCCAAATGTTCTCCACCAAAATACCTCTTAGAATCCCAGGAAGCTGACAGGCAACCATTTTTAGCAGCTCTCCACGAACTGACGTGTGGTTTTAGTATGTAGCGTTTCCGTTTGGCTTCGATTTTGCCTCCGAGGGTTCGGAGCTAGTGTGGGGGTGGAGAGCTGCGGTTCAGCGACACGTCCCGGGCGTCAGGACATACTGGGGGTGCGATCACAGACCTGGGGTTGCAGGGCAGGGAGCGGGGCGGGGAACGGCCAACACCACCCGGAGGTTAGACGTGGGTTGTCCCGATTGTGAACGCTTTCCTAACGGCGTTTCACACTCCCGCTAGGGGGCGCTCTCTGCGAAATCCAGGGTCCTGCTAATGGTTTCCCCTAGTGATGATGTTGAAAATGTCCTAAGAAATCATCTCGTGTTCTCCCATACGGGCAGAAAATTAATAGCATTTGGTGACGGCCACTACCGTATCTGTGTACATATCTCTTGCTCCTCGGAAAGACACAGGTGGCTCACACCGCCTTCTGTCTTCTGTCATCTCACCAATTGGTGAATTCTTGCTTTCTTACTCTAATTAATTGCTCCCACTATTGCAGCAACTGAAGTCAAGAAAACCCACTGTGGTGCACTTGAGCCCTTGCACACTAAGAAAGGTTAAATCGTTTTAAATCTCCTTAAAATGCAGAAACCAAGGACCTTAAATGGTGCACTTAAAAATTCCAGCACACCGAAAGGGCTCTTAAGATTTTTAAATTAATCGTCATTCTCCATGCACCAACCCCCCAATCACTTCCAGAGAAAAGCTCTTTGGAAACATTTAAAACACTTCGAGAATGCTAAAATGCCATGTTCTTTGAAGAATGATTAGAAATTGTAAGTGCTTCAGACATTTTTTTTTTCCTTTTAATCTAAGTGTCTCCTTTTGAAAGCTTGTCAAGGTGCAGCAACGGAAGGCAAAAAAGAAAAAAAATTAAAGGCGATCAAGATAGAATGTCAAAACAAACTTACAATTTCCCAAGATGGTTTTATGAAGCAAAGCTGTCAGTTTTGCTGTCACGGATCCTCAGAACAGCACAAGTTTTCCATTTTTTTGCCTCATTACTCACAGTGGAATTGCAAACTTTTTTTTGACCTTTCAGAAACCAAGTCTGGAGTTATGACATTTAAGTTACTCTTCTCCGGCTCTAATTACATAGGTTCGAGCTTTAAATAGATAATAATGAGACCTTCTCCAGGTGGGAACCTGTTTCCCTACATTTTGGAAGGAGCTTATTGCTGAAGTCTGAATGCACAGAAAGCCACCTGCTCTGCTAAGGCCTGGGCTGTCTTTCCCCTAAGGCATCCACGCCACTGAGCTTAGAGGTGGTCGCCTGCCGGAGGCCCGGGGCCCAGCTCGGGAGGTAGAGGATGTCATCCTGTCATCACCTCCTCCTGGTGGAGGGGACTGGAAATACGCTCCTATCCTAACCTCAGCTGCTTCTTGGTCGTGGCGATGTGGCTGGGAAGTGATGATGTCTCTTTCTTTCCACCCTGGCCACGCGATCGACGCCGTCTTACCGTCTTCCTGTCTCCATTTCCGGAGCAGCGGTTCTCGGCTTCAGCTGCCCCAGAATCTCCTGGAGGATTTGTGAAAGCACAGATTGCCTGTTTTCAAACCAAGCTTTGGGAACACCAGCTCTGGAGACATAAGAGACCCTCGTATTTTGTGTTAGTAATCTTACGTGGCGTGCCATTTGGTTTTCTGGAGGCAAAGGTTCTGGAGCGTTTCTAGAGCCGATGTAAGACACCTCCTCTTTCTATCATTTCCTCTTCCGTATGTTTATTTTCATTACAACCCTAATGCATCCAGGATGTTCTCTTTCTCCTTGTCATCTCAGAAGCTTTGGGTCACTCTACTGAATTCTGACCCCTGAATCTGGAAAGATTTTCTTGAGTTGTTGATTCAGAGAAAAAGACTTATGGCTCAGGGTCCATATAAAGGAGGAATTGCATCAGACGAGATAAACAGGCAAGGAATGTTCTATTCATAACTGTTGCTATTGAGGTCAAGACTATTGTGCCAGGGGAGAAAGACTGAAATTAACCACGTACCGGGGCGCCTGGGTGGCGCAGTCGGTTAAGCGTCCGACTTCAGCCAGGTCACGATCTCACGGTCCGTGAGTTCGAGCCCCGCGTCAGGCTCTGGGCTGATGGCTCAGAGCCTGGAGCCTGTTTCCGATTCTGTGTCTCCCTCTCTCTCTGCCCCTCCCCCGTTCATGCTCTGTCTCTGTCCCATAAATAAATAAAAACATTGAAAAAAAAAATTTGAAATTAACCACGTACCAATGAATTGCAGGGGAAGTTTTTTTTTTTAAGTTTATTTATTTATTTTGAGAGAGAGCATGCGTGGTGGAGGGGCAGAGAGAGAGGGAGAGCATCTCCAGCAGGCTTCGAGCTGTTATTGCAGAGCCCGACGTGGGGCTCGATCCCACGGACCATGAGATCATGACCTGAGCCAAAATTGAGGAGGATGCTTAACCGACTGAGCCACCCAGGCACCCCCATTGTTTTTTTTTTTTTTTAAGTAGGCTTCATGCCCAGCACTGAGCCCAACATGGGGCTTGAACTCACGACTCTTGAGTTCAAGACCTGAGCTAAGATCAAGAGTTGGATGCCTAACCAACTGAGCCACCCAGGCACCCCTGCAGGGCGGTTTAAGTGCTGGAGGAAGGTGCTAGATAAGCACCAGGGAACAGTAGACCAAACCAGGTGGTTGGTGAATTTGACTAAGCCATCTTTGCTAATTGGTGCTTATCCAAGTCAGTCTTCTTTCCACCCGCCCACAGAAACTGGCAGACAAGGGCACCACTTGTCTTGATTATTACATTTCAAAGGGATGGCCCCCAAATGCTCCTGAAAGACGTGCCTGGCTTGTAAAACTGGTAAGAGGCTTGCGGAAGAGTTACACCTGAAAGGGGCAGACCCCCTCAAATAAATGAGAGGTAGGGGGACTGTCCTTCGGAAGAAACCAGTCTCAAGTTTGGTCAAGCTAAGGAGAACTTCAAGGCCATCGTCGTCACAGCGACTCACCATTTCGTCCGGTGGCTTATATTTTACAGAAGAGGATACTGAGGTCTAAAGAAGTGGTCAGTTGACGAAGAAAACATAGCTAGTCTGTGGCATGACTAGGACTAAAACTCACGATGCTTCCTGGGGAGCAAGTGCTCCCTTAAGCAAAGGGAGTCTGTTCATTCTTCCCTTCTGCCCGGTCAGTTTTCCATTTTGCTTTGCCTCCTCACCTATCATACAATCCCCACCCCCCACCCCACTGCCACTTTGCTCTTTTCTTTTCTCTCTATCTTTTTAAAGTTTATTTATTTATTTTGAGAGAGAGGGAGAGAGAACACAAGTCGGGGAGGGGCACACACAGAGAGAGAGAGAGAATCCCAATGAGCTGACTTGGGGCTCAAACCCATGAGCTGTGAGATCATGACCGGAGCTGAAACCAAGAGTTGGATGCGTCACCAACTGAGTCACCCAGGTGCCCCTCCTGTCTGTCTCTTGAGCCTTCACCAGAGTCCTCCATTCGTCTCCCTGATGCTTTGTCACCATACCTTCTGCCAGCTGCCCTTTGGGGTCCAGCTTCAACTTCTGAGCATCTCACTGGGGGCAGCCATTAGCTTTCTGTGCAGTGTCTCCTAGTACTTGGCACAGGCCTGGTCGGGGCCCTGGCCCCACCTGTATGTCGCTCAAGTGACCCCGGGCATGGGGCGTGGTCCATGGGACCGCATTGGCTGGGTTTGAACCCAGAGTCTGCCACGCAAGAAGTATGCTTGGGAAATTGACCTAACATCTCTGAGGATTGATTCTCACTTTCAAAATGAGGTCGCTGTGAAACGAGATTGGATAATTCACACAGAGCGATTAGCACAGTGCTTGTCACGCAGATATACCGGTTAAATATTTGCACAGTTATCATGTCAGTCCCTGAGCGAAGGAGACAGGACACACTTCAACTCTCAGCACGCAAAGTCGTAAAGTTCTCAAATATCAATTTCATTTTTTTAACCAGCCTTTGAACGCTTCTCATCCTGTGCCCTTTATCACCGTGGCTGGCATGCGTTCCGGATCAAGAACTTTGGGAATGCTGGCTACGCGTAGAACGTAGATTGTTCTAGATTGTTCTATGCGTAGAACGTAGATTGTACGTAGATGGTTATGGGCTCTTAAAAAGCTGGATGCAAGGCAGCAGCAAGGCCAGTTACGAACCCTGGCTGCGTGGTGGCTGCTGAACCACCCCCCCTAAGGAGGGATCGAGGTCTCCGTCTTTGCAAGTGTTGAGAGTTTAAGCTAAGTTGCTTTCCTTCCTATCTTTCTACCCTGTGGAATCCGATTCTTCACATCATCTTTGCATCGCCTTCTCATTGTTCCTGATGAAGGTGTTGCTCTTCTCCAGCTGATGGAGGGGCACGGTATTGCACACTGGTGTTTCCAGGTGTTTGCACATACTAAGTGCTCCATAAACATCACTGTCCTTCTCCACAACTATGTCCTCCTTCTCCAAGCTCTCTCAGATGGCCCCTCTTCTCTGCAATGACATGCCGTATCCCTACCACTTGTTTTTAAAGGTCTCCAGTTGAACTCACGGGCGCATTTTAGCGTCTTGAAAACAATGTTAGCGCTTCCTTAATATGTCCCCTTCAATGACACAGAAGAGTGCATATGAATGACATAAACTGAGAGTCGTGGGCTCATAACTTCAAAATCTTCTCGTACTCCGTTCTTGCCACCTATGGTACCATCCAGATCATCTGTTAGAATTCACTGATCCAGAAATGTTGCTTGGTGCCTTTTCTCTCCGATGCTCCGGTTAATATTCCGTGCCCAGAACAGCCATGGTCAAGGGTGGCCGGAACTGCTTGGCTCTGGTCATGGTGAAGGGCAGGTAGTGCCTAACGGATGTGGGGTATAGCAGGTGTCTCTTTGTCCACGGTGCAGGGAGAGGGAGGTCGTTGGGTTCGATGCCACCTTGGCATCCAGTTACCTGCATGTTTGCAAATTACAGAGTCCACAGACCTCCTATTAATAGGATTTCTGTGAACATGTGAAATGTGCATCTTATGCACCCTCCATTGGCATGGTCTAGTTTCCTCTACTCACATCTGAGGGGAAGAGATTATTCCTAGCCACGCCCTTTCAAAATGCAGCTTTTGGGGCATGCTGGAGAACCAGTACCTTAGAGACAGGCCCGGGATCAGCACATTCTAGGACTGACTCCTTCTCAGACTGCCGTCTCCTTCATATCCACCTGGCATTTTCTTCTCCTAACTCCAGTAGGACGGGCTTCTGGTTTTAATTACGCAGGGTGATGGGTGTCTCCGGGCGCTCAGTCCCCAGCTTTAGGGTGCCATTTACCAGTGTACCACCCTAGGGGCATGTGGGCGGCTGAAAGAGAGTGCCCATTCCCAAGAAGTGGACACGTCTGAAAAATACGTAGCAAACATCTCAATAACATGTGAGCCCCAAACGTTGGAGGGACATATTTGTCGGCGCTCTGGTCCCGCGGCAGGCACCTCACATTCTTTAAGGATGGATTATGTAAACTAAGCCTTTGGAGCCTGAGCCCTCCGTGTTGGATGATTTCCTGATCCATTTCTCTGTGGCAGGCTCTGAGTCTAACAGCAGCACAGGCTCCTCCGGGTCGCTGCCCCGCACCCACGCACCTCTGCAGAGCGCGCCCCTGGCCCCAAGCGTGTCCACCGGCTCTCCTGGTTGTGTGCCCTATCCCGAGAACGGAGGAGGGGGCCAGG